TGCTGGAGGTTTGTGCTGGAGGGTTGTGCTGGAGGGTTGTGCTGAGGGGTTGTGCTGAGGGTTGTGCTGGAGGGTTGTGCTGGAGGGTTGTGCTGGAGGGTTGCGCTGAGGGGTTGTGCTGCAGGGTTGTGCTGGAGGGTTGTGCTGGAGGGTTGTGCTGGTGGGTTGTGCTGGAGGGTTGCGCTGGGGGGTTGCGCTGGAGGGTTTAGCTGGAGGGTTGTGCTGGAGGGTTGTGATGGAGGGTTGTGCTGAGGGTTGTGTTGGAGGGTTGTGCTGGAGGGTTGTGCTGGAGGGTAGTGCTGGAGGGTCGTGCTGGAGGGTTGTGCTGGAGGGTTGTGCTGGAGGGTTGTGCTGGAGGGTTGTGCTGGAGGGTTGTGCTGGAGGGTTGTGCTGGAGGGTTGTGCTGGAGGGTTGTGCTGGAGGGTTGTGCTGGAGGGTAGTGCTGAGGGGTTGTGCTGGAGGGTTGTGCTGGAGGGTTGTGCTGGAGGGTGCTGCTGGAGGGTTGTGCTGGAGGGTTGTGCTGGAGGGTTGTGCTGGAGGGTTGTGCTGGAGGTTGTGCTGGAGGGTTGTGCTGAGGGGTTGTGCTGAGGGGTTGTGCTGGAGAGTTGTGCTGGAGGCTTGAGAGGGTTGTGCTGGAGGGTTGTGCTGGAGGGTTGTGCTGAGGGGTTGTGCTGAGGGGTTGTGCTGGAGGGTTTTCGAGTTCGCCTTCCAGCACAATCCTCTCCAGCACGACCCTCCAGCACAACCCTCTCCAGCGCCACCCCGTCAGCACGATCCCCAGCACCACCCCCCAGCACAACCCCCCAGCACAATCCCCCTCCAGCACTTAAGGAATCGGTCCCAGCTCAAGAAATTGGTCCCAGCTTTTTTGAATTTCCTATTTTATTTAAAAAGATTCTGAGACCCAGCTCAAACAAATGAGTTTCTTAACAGACGACATGAGTGTACGGCATCGAGGGCCAGTCCTTCGGGCCCTTGAGCGAGGGCGCCCCGATCTCCCCGCCGGCGACCTCTGCGGGCACGAGGCCTGCGGGGCGAGGGCGAACGCGACGATCGCGGCGATGCATTTCGACTGCAATACCTGCGCTGCCATGGACTGCGAGATCATGTGCAGCCCTGGCACGATCTATGCCAGCGGAGGTGGGCACTGCCAGCTTCGGAGGTGAGCACTGCCAGCCTCGGTGGTGCCTGATTCTTGGCCTCCTATGCGTGCATGGCGTCGGTGGCGCGAGGCAGTCTTCGAGGCCGCCGCCGCTGCTCAAGAAAGGGGCTCTTGCGTGGGACAATGCCAAGGGACAGCCGCTGAGGTACACCAGCCGACTCACAGTGCATGCGGTCGATGATGTGACCAACAGTGGGTATGAGCGGGCAGCGCGGGAGTGATTGGTAGATCGCAAGCGTAATGCCCGACCTTTCTCAACAGTGCATGATAGAGATCGCGAGTTAGCTTCATATTTGTCGGACATATGCTATGTCAGGGGATTGGGCTGTTCGAGAGGTTCATATATGACGAACAGCGTCGTGCAATCTTCGAGGATCATCGGAATTTCTTACCGTTGTCGGCGAGGGCTTTGAAGGCATGGGGGAGGCAGCAGACGATAGGCGAAGGAAAACCCATTCCATTTCAAGCCATGGGACTGATATTGCTACAGCAGTGCCGTATGGGGGCAGCTCATGAAGCATGTGCAGCAGCTGTTCAACTGGACGGGTGGCTTCGTGAACAGGACTGGTCAATTCTCAGACGTTCAGACATATCTTTTGATAACTGTGGCAATGTGGCACTTACCCTGGGAGGACGTTCAAGAGGAGAGAAGGCCAAGACAGGTGCGGGCCAGGGAGTGCAGATCGAGCTCGCGATCACCAGGTGCATTCTGCGAGGAATGGTCAAGGGCTTGAACTCCGACGAGCAGGGTCTTCCCCTTACCACAAGTACATTTCGCAGGCAATGGCACAAAGCGCTGGATCTTCTGAACGAACGAACGAACTTGCCACAGAGGGCCGCGAAGGCCCTGCAAGATGGCACCGGAGCGCCGATCTGTCGAAGGGTGGAAAAACCTGCATCAAAAGTTACAATACAGTGCTGGCAAATGGCGCAACTGCACAACATAATAGGAGGATGAGGAGGAAGAGGAGGAGGAGGAGGAGGAGGAGGAGGAGGATAAGGAAGAGGAGGGAGGAGGACAGCACCTTACCCAAATGGGACCACCTCGTGGTACATGACATGCAGGCGCAGCGCATTACATTGCTGACAATGGAGATCTGTAGTAGGCGCGACGCCGTGGTAGGTGGAATACCGCTTCGGCCCTCCAACGATATGCCGAGACTCACGTGCTCATGCGTCGCCGTGCCGAGCTCCAGCCTCCACAGATGTCGGGCGGCGAAGCTCTCTGGGCATCTCCTGGAGGAGCGATGGCGGCTGCCTTGGGTTGCTCGCCTGCAGCCAGCGCCCCGTTTGCCAAGCGCCTGGCGCAGGCGCCAGAGGAGCTCAGGAACGACGCGGTGGACCTGGGCGCTAGCTCGAGCAACGCTATGAGGTCGGAGGCGGGCCGCCCAGCTTCAGGGCTAGAAGCGCCGCACAGACGCAGGAGTACGAGGCAGTTGTGTATACAATTCGTCTGGCCTGTGCAGTCTAATCTTTGGGGGGGGTAAACCACCCGAGACGAGCAGATAGGGGGGTATCGACTAGACAGTTTACTGAGTGATAGATAATTCCCCCGGCCCACCCACCCTGGCACTGCGGTGCTAGGGCCTGTGCAAGACAGCAGGGGGCTATGGGCCTCTATGGGATCAATTTCTGTGTTGCGTGTTTTTGATATGGCCCCACGGAGTGGGGGCCCTGCAGGTCAGGCACCGTGGACCTCATTTTTTGGGGGCCTTGGAGAGGCCCGTGCACAACAACTTCTGAAGTAACTCTGGGTCGGACGACCCGCATTGCCGCCCTTGCTGGAAAGAAGAGATCATCGTCGGCTATTGTTACGTTCATGCGCTGGCGCTCTGACTTTTTATCCCTAGGCTGTTGCCAGTCCGTCGGACCCCCCTTGCTCCTGGCTCAGGTGGGCCCCGTACAGCTGGTGATGAAGGGTCATCCTCACCCCCATGGTCCTCATCACATTGGTCCTCTTCACCCCATTGGCCCTTTCCGTGGTCCGCCTACCCTTGTTCCTCCTCCCCTTGGTTTTCCTAACGCCCTTGGTCCTCCCCTAGGTCCTTCTCCACTTGGTCCTCCTCGCCCCCTCCTGGAGGGACGCCGCAGCAGCGCTCGACACTGTGCTGTGCACGGAACATCGCAGGGCGGACCCTTTCCCAAATCCGTGCTTCGGTGCGGATCGTTAGCGCACCTCGTCTCGGTCGTCGTCGTCGTCGTCGTCGGCGGCGGCGGCGGCGTCGGCGTCGGCGTCGGCGTGTTCGTGGTTCGTGTTGCTCTGCTTGGGACTTGTTTCCCTTGAGCTGATCATGACCACAATACCCAGCACTCCTCGTGGACGGGGCCGCCCAGGCGCCTGGCGCGGCGAGTCGCCCCTCGAGATGCCGAAGCAGGCCCACGCCTGGGGAACGAAACAGAACATCTGGGACGACACGATTTGTTCCGTCCCCGCGCTCTTCCCCTCGATAGCTTCCCGACATGATCTTGAGCTGGCGGCTTTTCCCCAAATGGGGCTTCTAGCCCCGTTGCTGGGGCCCCGGGACAGCCAAACATCGGGAGCGGCCAAGAGGGGGGTGTCCAAGAGGGGGGGGGTGCAAATCATGACCGGCGGCATGTGCGCGGCCCAACGAGGGGGCCAGGGACGCAATCACCCCTCTTTGCCGCCCCCGAAAACACGGACCTGGAGCGTGAAACTGCCCCCGGGGACGGGGTTCGGAGGAGGAGGAGGAGGAGGATGAGGAGGAGGAGGAGGAGGAGGAGAAGGAGGAGCTCTGGGGGCCGCGCGCGGCCCATAAGTAGGGGGCCAGGCCAGGCCCACATGCGCCCAGGCACACCGTCGGGCGCCCAGGCCCATAAGTAGTTGGCCACATGCGAACCCTACCCCTACCCCCTCAGAAATCGTGGGGGGTAGGGGTAGGGTTCGCATGTGGCCCCCTAATAAGGATCGCCCAATGACAGACGAGAAGGACCCCGTGGCCGAGGCCAGCCCCCAGGGGCGGGGAAAGCTGCGAGAAGCCTGCGCCTGGAGTTCCTCGAGACGTTGGAGGTCTGGCCTGAGCGTCCTCAACCCTGGGCCCGCCCGAGCCCAAGGAGGTCCGGTGCTTTGATCTTTCTTAATACGGGTTCCCCCGAAGTCCTGACCGACACTCTTTCCGCGGGACTACCCGTCGGTCGGAAGAAGTGGGCAGAAACATGAAGTAGGAAGGCGTTGGAAGTAGATTGGGCCTCCGCCCGCCCCCTGAGGACGAGGGAAGACGGGAGACCACTCCACTCATGAAGTAGGAAGGCGCCTGAAGCAGATTTGGAGTTAAACATCCCAAAATACAAATTTTCAAGGCGCCGGGTAGTGTTGCTTCCTGCGTCTTCCCTTCATGGTCCTGCGGCCCAGTGGGGGCCCGAAAGAGGCCCAAACCAGCCTAAAGCCAGACCTCTGCATGTCTCAATGCGTTGGAGGTCTGCTTTTCGGGTCATCGCTCGGCTCTCCAGCGGCAGTTCGGGACGATCCGGGCGCCCCCAGAACGCCCTCGGCGAAACGCAGCCGCTGGAGGGCACCCAGAAACCAGAAAACCCCCGAAAGCCGACGAAACCTCCCGAAAACCTCGAACCTCGAACCTCGAACCTGAGTTGTGAGGTGAGCCTTCATGGGGGACTCTGTGAAACTCCGCGGCCATATCATAAGCGCGATTTCGAACAGATTTCGTCCAGATTTCGACCACCCCTCCTCACCCTTTCGTCCAGATGTCATCCAAATTTCGTCCAAATGTCGTCTAGGCGTCTGGCAAACTCTGGACGAAACTCTCGACACCGAACGGAATCTTGCCGAGGCTCCCATGAATAGACGGCAGACAAAGCCACCCTCAGAAAAAACACCCCGACAAGCAAAGCCTGTGGCGCCGAGTCTGGGAGCCACTCTAGGAGGCTTGGAAAAAAAGACACCAACACCTACACAGGGGGTTGCCTCCACATGGGTAAGGTGATCCTAGATTCCCACCAGCCCTTTGGGCGTGAGTGGTTTAGCGAGCTTTCTCTGTCCCCAACCCCCCAACCCCCCTTCTTCCCCTTCGGGGAAGGGTTTACCCCTCCCCCTACCCCCTCCCCCTGGACCTGGAGAGGGGGCGCCGCGGGTGGTTGGAGGGGTCTTTTTCGACTCCTGGGACGGCCAAAAAAACGACGACCCTCACGAGGATTCTGGCCCCGAGGGGGGGGGGGGGAGTTTGGCGCCTGAACTCGTCGTTGAAGTAAAAAACATTGATTTTACTACGGTGTTGGCCCCATTTTGGCCTTCTGAGGGATCCGCGTTCCTCTTCCTTCTTAGCAGAATCACTGATTTTACGAAGGTTGTGGGCTGAATTTGTCCTTCTCAGGGGTCAGCGCTTACTAGCGCTTCTGAGGAGGTCGCAAGAGACCCCAAGATAGCCCCAAGAGGCCCCCAGGAGGCTCCCAAGAGGCCTCCAGGAGGCCCCCAAGAGGCCCCCCAGAGGCCCCTAGAGGTCCCCTCGAGGCTCCCAAGAGGCCCCCAAGAGGCCCCAAGAGGCTCCAAGAGGCCCCCAAGACGCCCCCAAGAGGCCCCCAAGAGGCCCCCCAGACGCCCCGAGAGCTCCAAGAGGCCCCCGACAGGCCCAACGAGGAGCCCGAACGACTCACACCAGGACGACAGACCCCAACGACTCACACCACGAGGAGCCCGAACGACTCACACCACAAGGAAGGGCCCGAACGCCTCACACCAAGACGAGGCGCCCGAACGACTCACACCACGAGGAGCCCGAACGACTCACACCACGACGCGGGCCCCGAACGACTCACACCACGAGGAGCCCGAACGAGTTACACCAGGAGGAGGGGACCGAACGACTCACACACAAGGAGGGGACTCACACCACGAGGAGCCCGAACGACGTACACACAATGAGGGGCCCGAAGGAGTTACACAAGGAAGGACGAGGGGCCCCAACGACTCATACCACGAAGAGCTGGAACGACTCACATATCTGCAACGCACACAGACGCGAACACTCGCATTATCTCTGGCGTGCCTGCATGTCCTCGAGCGATAGCCGCCACAACGCTGCTACAACGAGGGCGGGGCCAATGGGGCAAGGAGTGAAACATGCATCATAACAACAAGTGGCCAATTCAATATACTCTATGGGGCCACTTGGGGAAGGAGTGCAATATGCATCACAACAACACGTGGCCGATATAATCTACTCTATGTTTCGGCCCCATTTCGGCGCTCGGGGGGAACAGCGCTTCTCTGCCTTCATGAAACAAACATTGTTTGTACGAAAATCTTGGGTTATCCTGCCCTTCTCCGGGGGCATCGCTCGTTCGCGCTTCGAAGGATCGCTCGAGGCTCCAAGCTGGCCCCAAAGGCCCCCAGGAGGCTCCACAGAGGCTTCCAAGATGCCCCCAAGAACCTCCCAGGAGGACCCCAGAGGCTCCCAAGAGGTCCCCAAGAGGCTCCAGGACGCCCCAGGAGGCTCCCAAGAGGGCCTCCAGAGGTCCCCACGAGGCCCTCAGGAGGCCTCACAGGCCTCGAGGAGGCACCCAAAAGGGCCCCACGAGGAAGCCGAACGACTCAACCCAGGACGAGGGGCCCCAGCGACGCACACCAGGACGAGCGGCCCGAACGACTCACACCACGAGAAGCCCGAACGACTCACACGCAAGGAGGCGTCCCAACGACGCACACCAGGACGAGGGGCCCGAACCACTTCCACCACGAGGAGCCCGAACGACTCACACACAAGCAGGGGCCCGAACGACGCACACCAGGACGAGGGTCCCCAACGACTCACACCACGAGGAGCCCGAACGACACACACAATGAGGGGCCCGAGGCGCTCACACAAGGAAGGACGAGGCCCCCAAGAGGCCCCCAAGAGAAGGAGGCAGCCCAACGACTCACACCAGGACGAGGGGCCCGAACGACTCCCACCACGAGGAACTCGAACGACTCACACACAAGGAGGGGCCCGAACGACGCACACCAGGACGAGAGCCCGAACGACTCACACCACAAGGAGCCCCAACGACTCACATACAATGCGGGGCCCGAACCACTCACCCCAGGACGAGGGGCCCCAACGACTAACACCACGAGGAGCCCGAACAACTTACACACAAGGAGGGGCCCGAGCGACGCACACCAGGACGAGCGGCCCGAACGACTCACACCACGAGGAGCCCGAACGACTCACACGCAAGGAGGCGCCCGAACGACTCACACCAGGACGAGGGGCCCGAACGACTCACACCATGAGGAGCCCGAAGGACTCACACACAAGGAGGGGCCCGAACGACGCACACCACGAGGAGCCCCAACGACTCACATACAATGCGGGGCCCGAACCAATCACCCCAGGACGAGGGCCGCCAACGACTCACACCACGAGGAGCCCGAACAACTTACACACAAGGAGGGGCCCGAGCGACGCACACCAGGACGAGCGGTCCGAACGACTCACACCACGAGGAGCCCGAACGACTCACACGCAAGGAGGCGCCCGAACGACTCGCACCAGGACGAGGGGCCCGAACGACTCACACCATGAGGAGCCCGAAGGACTCACACACCAGGAGGGGCCCGAACGACGCACACCAGGACCAGGGCTCCGAACGACTCACACTACGAAGAACCCGAGCGACTCACACACACTGAGGGGCCGAGGGACCCACACAAGGAAGGACGAGGCCCCCAAGACGCCCCCAAGAGGCCCCCAGAGGCCCCCCAGAGGCCCCCAAGAGGCTTCCAAGAAGCCCCAAGACGCCTCTCGAGGCCCCCCCGAGGCGCCCAAGAGACCACAAAGAGCCCCCCAAGGAGCCCCGAGTGGCAACGACAACAACGCTGGTCGGGAAAAATCGCTGGTTTCGACGACGGCCGCCCTCTGTCTTGCCTCCCAACTCCGTCCCTCCCGCCTCCTCTTCCGACTCCTCCTGCTTCGGACCATAGAATACACGTACAGGGAAACAGACACATGCTTGCACCAGACAACTGTCGGCATGCTTCGCTGGGGTTCCTCGTCGGCGATGGCACTACCACTACTGCGTCTACATTTACTACAACGACTACTACGACTACTACGACGACTCCTACTATTACTACTCCCACTACTACTTCTACTGCTACTACGAGGTATACTACAACTACTGCTGCTACTACTAATCGTACTACTGCTGCTCTGCCTCCTAATCCTACTACTACTACTGCGAGCACTACTCCTTCTACCACGACACCTACATCTACTGCCACTGAAACTTGTCGTGTCGCTACTACTGTTACTGCTACTACTGCTACTACTACTACTACTACTACTACTACTACTACTACTACTACTACTACTACTACTACTACTACTACTACTACTACTACTACTACTACTACTACTACTACTACTACTACTACTACTACTACTACTACTACTACTACTACTACTACTACTACTACTAACTACTACTACTACTACTACTACTACTACTACTACTACTACTACTACTACTACTACTACTACTACTACTACTACTACTACTACTACTACTACTACTACTACTACTACTACTACTACTACTACTTACTACTACTACTACTACTACTACTACTACTACTACTACTACTACTACTACTACTACTACTACTACTACTACTACTACTACTACTACTACTACTACTACTACTACTACTACTACTACACGGAAGCGAGAGGAAGGAGGAACAGGGGAGCTATGCGGAGCCCAGCGGACACACGCCTGACACACACCACTGTCGGCATGCTTCACAAGAGGTGCTGCTGTGAGATGGGCTGGTGGGGGTACGCGAAGCGTAAAGAATTTGGTGTCGGCCACTTAGAGAGCCCGGATCTCACCATCATCACCGAGATCGGGGGCCATCTGCCTCGGTGAAGGCACTCCGCCGATCTTGGTGTTGGTGTCAACCTCTAGGCTTAGGTCGGGCATGTCCCGCTACAGGCGGATTTTGGAGGAAAAATCAAAAAAGAGTCTAAACATACTCACAAATAGACAACAATAGTTGAAACATCGTCCCCAGGCTATTTCTGGACTATTTTAGAATGCTCCTCCTGTAGAGGGACGTGCGCGATTCAAGTCTGGAGGCCTCCTAGATGGGGTCTGAGTAGATGGGGTCGGAGGATCTCGCCGCACCGCCGATAAATCGGCGATGTATCGGCGATGCACTGGCGACGTCGGTGGTGCATCGGCGACGTCGGCATGGAGAAAATTGGGCTCCACATCGAGCCGCATCGCTGATGCATCGCCGATGCATGGGCGAAGCGGCGCGATCCTCCGACCCCATCTACGCCGACCCCATCTAAGAGGCCTGGAAACTCCCCCCTGCAGAGGGACATGCCCGACTTAATTGAGCATCGTTTAACCGATCCCTATCCCCACTGGCGCTGCCTGGGCCCCACTCTCCCATTTACCCCACCAGATGGGGATATCGGCTGTTTCCTGTGGGTTTCGAGGGGTACATTCCCAATTGGGGTGGTGGGATGGTCGGGCTCAGGATGGAGATGGGGATGGGGATCGGGACCGGTTGAACGATGCTGATTCACCCTAGGCCTCCGACATTCTTAGATGCTCATTCTGGGGACCTTCCTGGAGCCACTCGTTCCACTCGTGTGTCGAAGCTGCGTCGAACCTGAGTCGAACCTGAGTCGATCATTCGTCGAAACATTCGAAACATTCCTCCCCCCCGCAGCGCCGTGGCCCCCGAGTAGCCCAGCCCGAGCGGCAGCGCGGCCGGCGAGCCGCCGAGCGCGGGGGCCGCGAAGAAGCCCGCGCCGACGACGCCCTGCAGCAGCACCGCGGCGCCCTCGGCGGGCCGCCGCAGTCCGCTCG